CAGCGAGTAGAGATGCCTGTGTAGCTGCAACTAGTATTTTTTAAGCAAATCTACCTACTATGATGATGATTATTTCCGATATCGCAATTCGGCAAAGAGTATGTTCAGGAGTTTCTTAAACTCCGACACCGACTTTGCTTTGACTATCTCTGCAGGCAGATTGTTGCAAGTATGCATCACCCTCCGCACGAAGCAGAGTTGGTGAGCGACCCGCTTCAAATTCGGTACGAAAAGTTTGCACCGGTGTCCTCATGTGCTGCTTGGTGTGCGCAGATGCAGCAGAGACCTCAAAATGGAGTATTCGCCTAGATGTAACATCCGGTGTGTCAACGCGCATTCGACGATAAGACAAAGTGTACAACGCTAGTCTCTTGCATCGGTCTTCATATGGCACACCTCGTAAACTCGGGATGAGTCTTGTGGCAACATGCTGTATCCACTCAAAGAGGCGAGTGGCAACCTCTTCGGACCAAGCACAGAAGCTACGCTTGAGCGCCCAAAGCATGCGCAGTCCGTTTTGGTACAGCCTGTTCGTGTTTTCAACGGATTTCAAATCGCAGCGTGAGAGTACCCTGAGATCTTTCACGGATGGCGATGGGTGTAACTGTTGGACGGCCAGATTGTAGACTCGGCCACTACCACTCTTGCCCAGGCTCATGAATACCGACTTCACCGGATTGAACGGAAGGCTGACCTTTGCTGACCACATGGAGAGGCGGTCAAGGTCACGCTGAAGCAGGTCGAAGTCGTCGGGCGCCTCAATTACCCCCATACCTTAAGGTCATCTGCAAACAACGCGCAAGGGGAACTGAGAAGCTCAGGCAGCACATTGATGCGGATCAGGAATAAAATGGGCCCAAGGACGGGGCCCTACGGGAGGCCACTGATCAAGGGGTACCACTCGGCCAAGTAGTTGTCCACCTGCACCCTCCACGTCCTACCAATAAGGAAATCACTGATCCACTGATGCAGTGAGTCACCAACACGGCACATCTTCAGATCCCAAAGGAGGATCTCATGGTTCACCTTATCAAACGCGTTAGTGAAGTCGATGTAAGTAACGTCAACTGACTTCTCTTGGTTTAGCGCCTGCAACTATTCGAGCCTCGAGAGCAGGAGATTTGTGATGCATAATCGATCTTTCGTAAAACCGTGCTTCGTAGGTGTCAAGATGCTTTTCGACTTGAGATGTTGCAGAAGACCTCGATTCACGATTTTCTCGAGTGTCTTAGCCAAAACAGAGGTCAGGCATATCGGTCGGTAGTTGCTCACCTTGCTCAAATCGCCGTCTTTCGGAATCGGTTTCACTACTAAGCATTTCCAGTCGCACGGCAATGAACCAGCGGACAGTGACCTGTTGAACAGCGCAGTCACCGAAGGCGAGATGATGGCCGATAGCGATTTGAGGATCAGTGGATGGAGCCCATCAGTCCCGGCAAGCTTGGTACCGTCAAGACTGGCGAGCAATTTGCGCACATTCTCAACGCTGCAATCCGGACTGTCCAGCTAGGTAGGGGCGATATGCATCGAACTGGGTACGGATGCCCGGTTAGCTGCGAAAAAGGAAGCGAAGTGCGTCGCCAATGCGGAAGCAAGCTCAGTGCTGGAAACTATAGGCTGTCTATCCGAGCATCCAACACAGGCACATCACCTGTCGGCTTCAAGCGTCGCTTCATGTATGCAGATCCTGTTGGGAGCTGTTTTTGCTGCGGTTGCAAGCTGCTCTTCGAAGTTTCGGCGTTTGCTCGTTTTCGCGCTATGGCAGGTATTTCGTTGCCTCTTGTACGTCTCGTAGTCTTTGGCAGAGCCAGAGTGCACGAATTTATTCCAAGATTGGCCTGGATCGCATCCTACGCTGATCCTTGGTGAGGATCAGCTAGAAGTCGTTCAAAAATTCAACTACCTGAAAAGCTGTATCAGCGCCCGTGGAATTGAAGATGATATCACGAAGCGTATAGCAAAAACTTGAGGCGTTTTGCCAACCTTCGCCACTTATGGCACCGGCGCGACATCATTCTCGCCCTGAAGGGTAGTGTACAATGCAGCGGTACGTTCGACCCTACTGTATGGTTATGAAATCTGGCCCCTTAGATCCACGGACATAAAGAGGCTAGTTACGTTCGACCACCGGTGCCTTCGCAATTTAGCTCACATCTGGTGGGAACACCGGGTGAGTAACGAGCGTGTTCGACGCCTTCTTTACGGCACAGGAAATGGAAATGAACCGCTCAGTACCGTTATTTCACGCACAAGGCTCCGATGGCTCGGTCACGTGTTACTCATGCCAGCTCATCGACTCCCGCGAAGTGCGTTGTTTGCGCGCCAGGTGTGGATGGAGGAAGAGGAGGGGTAGCCAAGCGATGACTTGGTCGAGAGGAATGAAGGTCCTCGCTTCGAAACTGGCCTCGGTTGGAGCGTCTCGGCTCCCTGGTTGGGGTCCGAAAGATGATGAACACGTTTGGCTGGATATACTTGCTGATATGGCTAGGAGCCGACCACAGTGGCGTTCGTGCTGTGAGTTTCTTTGTCCCACGCCACCCCTCTTAGCCTAGCCCTCCAACCACGACCTCACTTTTTAGCCTTATATAAGTTGGCATAGTGAGTTATTTTTTGTTACTTAGTGGCCGGATGGTAACTTAACGGAACACTGCCCATCCGTTACGGGTAGCTCAGCCGGGTTGCGTCTTCTGGATTTCCCCTTTTTTTCCTTTTATGGATTGCAGCAGAGTAGCCGAGGTGTTTCCCACCTCCAGCTAACGTGTATAATTAACGAATGAATAGCTGGCGTCGCAGTCGAGCCAGTTTGACATACATTGTCAAACCAGTGTGGCTTGACTGGTGCAGCTTTCCGATATGTGAGGGGCACAGATCGGGCGCAGTGATTTTATCCCCTCTTTTATGATAGACCAACAAGCTTTAATTGATGAATTCTGTGGTAGCGACCAGTCCATCAAGCTTGCGGCTCGAGTGAAGACATTCAAGTCCATATTCCAGTAGTTGAAGGCTGGCTCCAGCGGAGGAGTAAACGGCAGTGGCAGTTCTAAGCTCGCCATTACCATCGAGTGGTCACTAGCCCCCAGAAGCTTAAGGACTTGAACATCACGCACATGTTGATCGCAGCTGGTCAGCAACAAGTCCAGGCACGATGGAGTCCAGCGCGCGATAATCCGCGTCGGCTGACTGATGTGCTATGAAGTCCCAGTTGCAAACATCTCCGCAAACTTCGTCACAACTTCGCAGTGTCCGGAGAGAAGTTCGGCCTCGGGCCACCGTATTCGAGGAAGGTTGAAATCTCACATAAGCAGAAATCGTGGACGACTCATACGGTTGCGCACTTGAGGCAACCAGTCAAAGCTGCAGCTCGGTGGAATGCGATACACAACACCCACGAGGAGATCGACGCCTCTCAGGTGGATCGAACACCATAGCTGCTCATACAGACCATCACTACTCCTGTATGTGCTAACGAGTCTTCCGCACAAGGAAGACCGTATGTAAAGCAACACGCCAACGCTTTCATTTGATAGCCTATCACAGCGAAAGCAAGAATACCCTCTGATTTCGTTTTCTTGCGCGGTTATCTCTGTATTTAACCAAGTTTCAGCTAGGCCCAATATGTCTGGTTGCCGAGAAGCAACGAATTGACAAACGTCGTCAAGTTTGTTCACTAGATTACAAACGTTTGTAAAGGCTACACGCACGCCGCGGAAAGAACCGTCGGGCGCACATGAAGCGTTAGCGACCTGTTCATCTAAATTCAAGGAGGAACCTGGGTAACTAAACGAAAATTTGCAATGCGGAGACTTATTTCCCCGCCTTCCGTGTGCCGCTTTAGTTCAATCACGGCAGACTTGGGTTTTTCTCGATTTGCTGGATCTATGTCTGCGCGCATATGGATCTGCAAACCCTTAAGTCTACCGAAGCGCGATGATACCAAGCTCAGACCAGCTTCGTCAACAAAAGTGATCCTCATGAGTCGAACTTTTCCCTCAGATTTCTTTTTAAGACGAGCGATTTGCTTCACTTTCAGCCTGACGTCGAGGTGTCTGTCAAACAGACTGCAGAAACTCGAAGTCATGGTCATACCGAACCCGCAGTTTTGAATCCGACGATTCAGAAGCATGGAACACCATCAAGTTGCGAAGCCTCAAGTGGCTGAACGTCGCTTTCGGTTTCTTTGGCCTTCGCGTCTGCCAGAAGTCATCACTGCCTGGCTTGTCACACATTCGAGTTTATGTAGCCGTCGAGGGAGTAGCAAGTGGTAAAGAGGGATTACTCTGCAATCTAGGGACAAAATATGGAGCGCTTCACAATTTTGCTCGTCATCCTTGAGAAAGTAATAGTTGCAGTAGCCTCAAGAAGAGAAAGGGAGTACCAACGGCTTCTCACAAGTACCACGATGACCTATGAGAAAGTAGCGCGCGTACAAGCCCAAGGCTAAGATCAAGTATGGGTGTTATGACAGGTTGACCTTCTTATATCCACAGGATGGATTCGGGTAGGCGGCAGTAGACAGATTCATTTTCCTAACAAGCATTCGTTTTTCACGACGGTCTATAACTTGCGAGTTTGGGTCACCCGTAGCTGAACTTCGAGGATGCTACTGCTCATTTTTCAACTGCTAACTTGGATGGTCCGACTGGGAAGCTGGGCAGAAGAACAGACTTGCTGGCACAGGTAACGAATGGAATTGGTAAATAGAAAAATAGTGGCAACCGTGTGGGGGAGACACATGGCTGATGGTTAGGCAAAACTATCCATAGGACAAGGGTGTTGATACCTCAGTTCAACCAAAACTATGGTGTAGATGTGAGTACATTCAATGCTGGATAGCTCATCCAAGTTTTGCCCGCATTCAGAATCCCACCAACCACTATTATAAAGCTAAAAAGATAACGACTGCCAAGTAACCACACATAAGAGTTTTCCGTCCGGAAAAAAGAACAAGAGTTGATCAAGTATAACAGACACGCAGCAAAGTGGAACGTATTAGTACTTACGGCAAACAGAGCTTGTTTCATATAAGTTTCCATGTAATTGTAGTAAAGTGACATGATCTTTACTAAGCATTGAAGAGCGGCAACACGGATCTGAGGATTAGTTGACTGTGTCGACTCGCAGACGACTTGCATTATATAATTCCGTTCATTCTGAAAAACCAATAGTCAGAAGAAGCGATGCATACATCGACATCAAAATTGTGTTTTGTAAACTCTAATGAATTGAGAAGCGCATTAGTAGCTGCTAATCGGACGTTGTCACTAGTACAAAATGAAGTAAAACCAACAGAATACCTGGGCTCCTCCTTCTTCATACCACAAACTATTGCCGTTAAGATAGCGTTCGATTGGTTGGTGAGGATATTTGGGTCCTAAAAATTACTCTCCTGATGAGTAGACTCACGATGTCTTGACAAATGTAACCTATCGCTTCCAGTGTAGAATGTTTACAGGCTTCGGAACTCGTCTGATTTACGACATTTTCGACCAACCGATCCATGAGTTCCGGCCATTGCATCGCCGGAATTTCCGCACAAGCAAGATATGCCACACATTGGGCAGCAGAACTGTGAGCAGTAGTTTCTGTCCCCAAAGCAGTCAAACACTGAATACCAATGTAGGAAGAGTTCAGGAAACTTACATTCTTCTTAATGTGCAGACGAGTGTCCGGTGGTATCTGGAGCCATCGCTGTTGGTAAGCAGCCTTCAGATCAGAATCTTTAGCGTATAAGGCATTCTTCAACTGCAGGCCAGCTTGCATGCGAACCATCGGAGAACACTCTGGATTAACCAGAACATCGCTCAGTTGGCGTAAAAGACCGACAAGATCTGCTTCGGCTGCTTTCTCTAGAAAATGCTGGGCCGCCTCCAACTCCACTTGAACTAAAATGAAATCCAGGTTAGTTAAGTTTATAACGCATGTAGTGAAGTTAGTGTAACCGGGTATCATTTCATTACCTGGAGAAATACTCTTTTCCAACACGGTCAACAACCCAATGTCCACAGCCATCTCAGAAACGAGGCGATCGTCCGAAATTCAAATCTCGCGGCGGCAAACCGCCCGCCAATTATGCTATCACCGGCATGCCGAATCACACTGTTATCACTAGAATCATTACTTAGCTTCTATGCATATTACCATGTATATTCCCATCATTTATAAAGTTGTATTAGTGGTACACTTTTGCGGCAACTTCAAGTTCAGGTGGGACAGGCAGGAGAGGGTGAATCCCGTAAGTGTTCCTTCTTGAGCGGGTCGTTGATCCAGGACTTGATAGAGCTGCTCCCGCTTCTTGTTGGATCTAAAACGAAAACCCAAAAATTCCTGCTTCACCAATTTTATGCCCACGTAACTTGCAGCACGTGTCCATGCTATGCCAGTTATTTGAAGTAAGTAAGAAAGGAAGAAAAATCGAAGGTAGGGCGTAAGGGAAATCATTTAAAAGAAGAGCATAAAACCAATGTTGAGGGAAGTACAGAAAATAGAGTACAATTATTCAAATAAGAATTAGTCGGGCGTATCGTGTAAAAACCGGATTCCGTCTTATTTTGACATTGCTTGGACTTGTTTCGGATCTATAATTTTCCAAACTACTGACACACGGGTACTCCATACACGTTGTCCAAGCTGTTCCACGCTATTCTCTCACTAGTTTTCCACATACATTTGTGCTTTGTGATTGCTTTTTTACCCGGGATTAATTTATTACTATTTCTCCTGATGGTTGCTACACGTTCTATAATCGTTTAGTGCGTCTGATTCATAGGATATCGGGGTTCTAACCAATCGGGTAGAACACCGACACTTGTGCAACTGCTCATGTTTACTATGGTAGGTACCGTTCAAAAACCAAAAATAAATCATTATTGTTAGCAGGTTTTCGGTTGTATTGAAAACTGAATCCGCTCTCACAGCTTGTATGCCGTATTTCACCTTCGAGCTTTTGCTTCTAAGCTTTCTGTGGAAACTGTTTCATTTGCACTAAACAAAAAGTTTCACTTTGTCAGTTTTCCTGTAATCCATCATAAAGTTGAATGTTTAACCTACTCGGCATTTCTTTGTTGCAGCTCACAGGATTTACGATTCTCTGCCGTGCAAATAGTGCATTTACTGAGGCTTCTCGACGCATTTGTTTGCCACGTGCTGCACTTCCGGCTTCTACTAACAAAGCACGTATGTAAGCAGCGCCTAAAGAAACTTTTGTGAGAATGTTGAAACGTCCGTTTCTTACTCTGACCACGTATAAAGCTCGTTGGTCTCCTACCTGGGCAAATAGAAGGTTGCAATTTCTCTTCATTGATATCCAGCTAACAAAAGTTCATGAGTAGTCGTCAACGCACCTTTGATTCCTTTTGGTACCAGCTCGTGTTACTCTTGTCCATCTACTAAACGAGTTCCCGAAACTGGTTCAGAATTCTCGTTGTCCTCTATTGTCTTGCAGGTTTGGCGTTCCACCCGCATTATTGGTGTAGTAATGGCATGGGGAACCCGTCCCGTCGATTTGCCTGACTTAGCAGTGCATGCTGTAACTTGTGCGCCTAGTGTCTGTTACAGACACTTGCGGCGAAATTCAGTTCTGAGTTTGAAGTACCTGGATCAATGAAAACTGCATTGTTATACTGAAAGAACCGCACAAGTTACCGCAGGGTAAAACCCTGATATAGAACTATTCTGAAATACTAAAGGGCTAGAACCATCAGGCGTAAAAACAGCCAACAAAATTCACGGCACGATAACAATGTAACGCATGTTAGCGCAATCCACCAAGCAATTATCGTCGCACATTTTGGAAAATACGTGCAAAGTTTTCAAGTTTTCGTAGTTAACAAAGCTAATTTGGCGTCGCTGACACTCTCGTTGGTCATTGGACGTTTGCCAATGGAACACCGGTTAGAAGCCCTCAGCATACGCGACAGACAGTCCAATGCAAGTATTCGAGCACCACCTTCTGTGCCATTTTGCTGCCTATCTGAAGAAAACCTCGATGATTGGTCTCCAAACGGAAACCGTCCAATGGACAAATCGTGATGCCTGTCTAAGGAGTATATCCTAGCTACCACATGATACAGAGCTTAAGCAGTAACCAGTGCGGACAGGTATACTAACCAGCACATGAAGCGGCATATAGTGATCGCTAGCGGCTACCTGGTGGTGGATTATTCAGCGGCCTAACCATGGTGGCGTAGACAGACAAGCTACTAACAGGTATTCCGATGTTCAGCAATGGCTTCTAGACTGTTATACAATTTTATGCGACTGTTATTGCGAAGACCATGGTGCACATTGTTCCCATTTAAGTTGGTAGACCAACCTGAAGCTGAACAACGAAAGTTCTAGGTGTGCCTAATCTAGCACAGTTGATAACCATACACAAACTTAGAGGATTCCAAGTGTGGCGTTGACACGACGTTAGTGAGTGTCCGTTTGTCTCCACACCCATGGGGGACTTTGTTAAGCAGTTATCGCTTCAGTGTCGCCACTATGGCGTAATATACAGGTCATGGGAACCAATGAATTCATAGGATAATTAGCCTTCACTTCCATATTGTCGCTCATATACCTTGAGGCGCTTTGACACATGGCCCTTGATGTGGCACCATTAGAAGCACAGTAAAATGCAGATGAAACTTCCCTATTACGTCCATGGACCGGAATGCTATCCTCATGAAGTCGGCAATACTCAACAAAGAAACGCATATATGGGCTACAAGGACTACGGTGTTTATACAAGCCACATCGTCCTGCTAGAAAATACGTAAGGTTGACAATAAGTGGCGACGCACGCAGTTTACTCAGGTAATTCAGGTGAATACTTGGAACAGACAAACACTGTTGTCTCACCCACGGGCGTTCGTACAAGGTGTTTGCAATCATGTACGAATGCATGCGTGCCCGCTAATCCTGCTGTGGACCGGTGTTTCAGCTAGCCTTAGAAGCAGTCATATGTGCACGCTTGACACAGGTTGTTATCCACGTGGCAACTACTCGGAAACATTTTGTCATTGGCAGGTGAGCAATTCCGGAGGCATTGTTGAAGGAGGAAAGTTGCTCCAAACTCTATGCTTGCTATGTGTATGCAATGCTCGTCGGCAGGTCAAATCAGGGCCGTGGTGTCACTTGGCATTTCAAGCTTATCAATCATTTGGAAGTGAAGTGTAAATATCATGTTAAAACGCAGGATTGACATGCATCATTCGACCTTAACATAACGGCAGGTCCATGGGTCCTGTAGCGGTAACTGATTACCGAAGTGGCCCACAGGTGTGGAGACGAAGGAACACGCATTACTGTCGTATCACCGCCCCATTAGGAACCCTCCTCTTTGGCACAATGGCTACAGAGCCACTGATGGTCTTACCTACCCAGCGAACTTGACCTTAGTATACAATGCTCGGCCACATCAGCGGTGCGTGGCTCCGCTATTCACATGATTGTACGTCCAGCTGAAACAACACAGCGTAGGAACAATGGTTCCAAAATATGCTCTCGTTTAAATTTACCAGTGCATTCTGTGCCGCACCAATGCACGCCTCAAATAAAGTTAATGAAGTCACACCGTCCAATCTACATGACCAAATCGTCTCTACGTCTGCACGGTCACACAGCGTCACCGTTGTTAGTCTACCCTTTGGTGTGGCCACAGACTCGACCCCTAAGTTCATCGCATGATACGCAGCGGTCCAATGTGGTCCATAGTACACGAGAAGTTTACTGGGCTACGACTGCGGACGAACATGTAAACTACCAAATAACGCGATCGATAGTACTGGTTCCTCAACGGTTTTGTTGTGGTATCGAGGGTGAGCAGCCAATCGGAGACGTAATACGTTGCTGGGCATGCTGCCAAGCTGGCGTAACGTTTCACTACCACGCGAGCAAAATGATACCTAAGTGAGTGGTAATAAGAGGCGGATTAGTAGTAGTCGTTGAGGCTGCAACCCTTGCAGCCTGTTGGAAGAGGAGGTTTGAAGGTTCACTGGTTGACTGCAAGGTGACCTTCCTTGCTCGCTTGCCTAGCTAGCCATATGCGATAAGGTTTGCATTGTGTAATCGTGCCCCGACCAGCAATATGTAGAATCGACAGGTGTACTATTTCGCTTAGGACATGCGTGTGATTGTCAAGCCACTGTGAGGCGATCAGAACCAAAGCAGTAATTAGTATGAAGGAGTTAAAGCTAGAAGTTCTTTGAAATAGAATTTTTACAACATTTACAGCTACAAAGTCTTGGTCTGTGTATTTCATTTGGCAGTACACTCATGTAAATAGCAGAGCTGCGCACCGCTGATGTCGTCAGCGCTTTGTGTATTAAGGTCAAGTTCGCTGGGTTGGTAAGACCATCAGTGGCTCTGTAGCCATTGTGCCAAAGAGTAGGGTTCCTAATGAGGCGGTGATACGACAGTAATGCGTGTTCCTTCGTCTCCACACCTGTGGGCCATTTCGGTAATCAGTTACCGCTACAGGACCCATGGACCTGCCTTAATGTTAAGGTCGAATGATGCATGTCAATCCTGCGTTTTAACATGATATTTACACTTCACTTCCAAATGATTGATAAGCTTGAAATGCCAAGTGACACCACGGCCCTGATTTGACCTGCCAACGAGCATTGCATACACATAGTAAGCACAGAGTTTGGAGCAACTTTCCTCCTTCAACAATGCCTCCGGAATTGCTCACCTGCCAATGACAAAATGTTTCCGAGTAGTTGCCACGTCGATAACAACTTGTAGCTTACGAAAAATGAGCTCTTGCAGTGTATTACAACATTGGATTTTACAGTTGCTTTAACCTTCGAAACGTCGATTTGTTTTACTTACTGCACCTCCGTTGACACAAACTGTTTTTTGGGTATCCTGCTGCACCGTTTCTTTTTGAGGCTGATTCGTTTCCTATTTTTGTAACGTGCATATTGTACGTTAGGTTAAGTTGCCTCCGACGTCTATACTGTCTCCTATTTCACACGTTTTACGAGTCATTGCTTACCGACTAGTATCCCATTCTCCGCCCAACAATTGGTGACCCCCTGTCAGGAACACGCCGCTTGCCACTTTGCATTTTCGTTCTGTTGAGCT